CGTACTGTAAGCGCTCTTTTGCGCTATTCGAAGAAAAAAATCTGCTGCTCGCTCCGTCGATACGAAAGCGTACGGAAGCGTTTTCGAGGAGTACGAGAATTTAAAAAGAAAAAAAAAGAAGAAAAAAAGAATAAAAAAGAAAAAAAAAAAGAGAAAGAAAAAAACGAAGGGGAGAGAATGAGAGATAATTTATTCGAATACTACGGTTACACACGCACGATGTATGATGACGTCTATGACTGTTTACCGAGGCATGCGATAATATCGTAGTATCTAACTATATTTATCTAACGCTATCGGTATCTATCTGTCTGTCTCTTTCTCATGCTTTTTACTTGAAGCAACCCGTTTCCCGATTTGAAATCGGTAAGTTTAATAGATTGATGTATAATAAGAAAGAAAAGGAGAGAGAGAAAGAGATAGAGAAAAAAGAAGAAGAGAGGAAAAACAATTTTTTTGAATTCTTTTTCTATGTCTATTTATTCCTTTTTCTATCTCTTTCTCATCGTCATCTTCTCTGTCGTTTTTGTTTCTTTGCTCTTTATTTATCTCTTTCTCATCCACTTTACTCAAAGCAATACATTTCCTGATTGGAAATTGGTAGATGTAATAGATCTACGTAGAAGAAAATAAATAGATAAATAGATAAATAGAGAGAGAAAGAGAGAGAGAGAGAGAGAGAGAGAGAGAGAGCGACAGAGGAAGAAATAAAACTTGTCTATTTTTTTTCTTCTTCTTCTAATTCTCTTTCTCTATCTGCTTCTTCTAATTCTTCTGCTACATCTGCTTCTTCTACTTCTCATTCTACATCTGTTTCTTCTATTTCTTCTTCTCTCTTATCGTTGTCCTTTCCATCTCTCTTTCCACTGTTAACTCGCGAGAAGCGCCGATTGTATCTCCATAACGATTGCACCTGCGGCACAAACGAGTTGTTGTCCACGCATATGCGGTTACTTTACATAAGATATGCGCGTTTAGAGGTGGCTCAAAATAAACTCGTCACGATTCGACACGTACGCTTTACTAAAGAAAGAGAGAAAAAGAGAGAGAGAGAGAGAGAGATAGAAAGAGAATCGTCATTTGAGTTTGATTTATCAACACAATACGATTTGCCTCGAGCTTCCTTCGATTCTATTTTGCTACTTTCCACAATGATTTTTCCGAGTTCATTTTCGTGTATGAAATGATTACACGATAAAGTGTCCTCCATTTGTTCATACTTAATCAATTGTGTCTATTTTTTTATTTTTTTTTTTTTTAAATATATAACGTTTAAAAGTTGATCTAAAAATTTCAATATTATATTGATTTTTTCAAACTTACAAACGAACAATAAGAGAGAAGAGAATCCACATTTGAAATAAAAACATAGAAATTTTTAAATACTTATGATAGGTATAGTAATTTATAATGTTTAAAAGAGCATTTCGTGTTTCTAAATTTTCGTTAAATATTCTCATCATTACTTAAGAGCGATACGATCATTTGAAATAAAAAAACATTTCTAATATAATGATCGATAATGTTTTTAAGGGGATCTTTAATCATGAAATTTTTCTTTAATCTCCGCAGACTTGGTAATGAACGATAATATCATTAATAATGAGAAACATTAGTTGATTTTAAATTTTGTAACAAGACACGCTGTGTTCTATAACGATAGAAAGAGAAAAAGGGAAAAAGAGAGAGAGAGAGAGAGAGAGAGAGAGAGAGAGAGAGAGAGAGAGAGAGAGAGAGTAAACGAGAAAAGGAGGGAAATAGACGCGGGAAATATGGTGATATCCACAAGCTAGAGCGCTCAACGTTAATACTCGTATGGCAAGATCGTAGCACCGAGAGGAGCGTTCATGTTGACACTCGGAAAAAAGATAAGATAAGGAGCGTTAGCGACCAATCGGCGCTTCTGTGCGTCTCTTATGCGACGTCACTGTTGCTAAGTTCTCTCCGTCTACAATACGTTCAAGAGAGACTTTACTATACAATTAATATTTTTTATTAATATTCCTGTCACATATCGACTCGAATTGATCAATACTCGAAAAACTTTTTTATTAACATTAGAAATAACAAAGTTATACATAAGACTCTGTGTTGTCTGTTTGTCTGTCTGTATCTTTTTATTTAGCGATTTATATTTTTCAAAAAAAATTGTACTCTTTTAAAAATCGAGAAAAAACATAGAGAAATGAAGAAATTTATAACAATCGTAATATCGAAGAAAGAAGATATGTCATTAATGATAATGTTAACTATAGAACTTTTCCTATATAACTCATTTTCTCTTTCCTTATTATTTGTTATTTATAAAATCGTACTCTTCTAACACATTACACAAGAGATGATAAGATCGCGAAACTGTTGAAAATTTATAACACTCATAATATCAAAGAAAGTATGCTAAACATAAATATGATAGCCGAATGTTTTTTCTCGGCGATTTTGAATTATCTGTTATTTCATCGTAATATATTCAAAAGGACGTCATTTATATTTCTCTAGAATATTATTCGCTAGGCTTCGTTGATCTTTACCATTCTCTCATTCTTTTACGAAAGGAAGTTCGAGTAATATAACGAACCGTGTGAATTACCTGCTACGGTGTTCTCCAGTTTCAGGCACGTATAAAATAAATGTACGTATATTTATAGCATGCTATCATGAAGGACGAACGAATGAAGAAACATAGTGACTCGTTTTATTATTCGGACACCATGGCTTTTTAAATATAATTGCACTGTACACTTAGGTACTTGCAATTAGAGTTGAATAAAAGAGTTTTTGTCTTTTTTTCATACCAAATAGTATATTCTTTCTAGTTTTCACAAAACATATATTTCATTTATTTAATTGACATGATTAACTATATAGCATAATAGAAACGAAATAACGCTTACTTTTCGTGTTGCAAAAATATTCGAATATTTATAATTATAGTAAGAGAACAATATTTTTATACAAGTTATTAACAAAAATAAATAGAATTATAATAATTCTAATGTTTAGTTGGATTCCCCTTTTGTTTAAGAACTTGTTGCAATCGATTTAAAAAATAATGTTTAAAATAATTTTCTTTAAATATTCTGCCAGCATTTCTGTCCCTATTATTCGGTTAAAGGTATTTTTAATTTCTCTTGTGATCTTATTGGTGTTTCTCTTATCTTATGATCTAATTCACCGTATAGATCCTTCAAGTACACAAGGCAATCATATTCAAAAAGCCACGGTGTCCGAATATTAAAGCGAGTCATCGTATATTGAAGCATGACTCGTAGATTGTTATCAATATTGTTAGCCGATGGTGATTCGATATCGTTAAAAATATATGAATAGAAACTATCTTACGGCTCTATTTGAATAGATTAAATTTATGTAAGAATTTCAAGAAATTCATTATCAAGTATTCTTCGTCTGGATTACGTCTCTCGATAACTTAGGTCAGTAATTAAAAATAAAAATTCTAATTAATACAAGAAACGCATACATATATTCGTCATATTTTAACATACATATAAACTAACATTTCTACGCGACTAAAAACTGAAAAAGTATCTTTGGTCTCGTCGAGACCGAGAACTAAGCAAACACTGTTAGTTCGCTTAACTTCGACTCGTAAATAAGATTACATCCGAGTAGACTATGGATTTGCAAACAGTAAAGAGCGTAAATGACATCTTCGATACACGTGCTTTTTCATACGAGTACATACATCCGACGAGAATCTTTTTGCTCTCTTTATCTCTTTACGCAGGCACGTAAGAAGAAACTAAAGAATTATGTGAGTTACAAAAATATATGGAAATAAGACAAAGAAAACGAAGCACGTAGCGATATCGTCGGTGGTACATAACTACGCGATAACAGATCTCAAATTTTGTTTTTTTTTTTACAAATATTTGCCATTACTTCTTCTTCATTTATAAATTGAATTTTTTTTTTTACTTTCACTGTTCAAATCTGTGCGCTTTATTTTATTTCTTGTTTAAATTGAGCCAAAGAAGATAAGTACATCATTTGTGAATTTTACTTAAGGTTGGTTATTGATCATTATTAATTCATTATATATTTTCGTTATTAAATTAACTTTTAAAATTAGTTTACTAAATTGCCAATAATTCTTCAATCTTTTACGAGAATCGTCATTTACATGATGACTAGACTACGACTAAATTGATAGTGTAAACAATTAGAAAATATTTTCAAGCTATGAAACATAATAAAGATTCTTCAAACATGTATTTTATAAAAACATCGAAGTTTTTCTCTCTAAATCAGAAAACTATAAAGAAATCGAACTTTATAGATTTGATTGAATACGGTAAAACTAAAAAGTAAACAACGAAAGAGTGAAATGTATTTAATCCGAAGAATGCAATTAAATCAGGTAATTTATATAAAGTCACTGTATTTAATTGATGATTATGTTAAGAGATTTCTGCAAAAACGCTTACGGCCGCGCATGTTCAATAAATAATTCAAGAATAAATAATCATGATTTACATATAAATGACATATATGAAAAATTATGCTCTGTTGAAAAAAAAAAAACAAAAAAACATGAAAGAAAAAACTAACTTGAATTAAAAGAATTTTATATCATTATTAGAAAATAGAGATTTTTATAATTATTCATAATTTAAAAAAAAGTCATATTTTAAACATAAAGATTGTATTCGTTTAAAATCAGAAAAAAAACAAGTAAAAAGATTTATTAAAGAATAAATAAATGTAAAATTAATAATAATTCATAACACAATGACTATAATTAACAAATCGATAAAATAACGAACAAATAAAGTTGTAGAAATAAAATGAGAAAAGAAAAATGATGAAATAAATAAGTATAAAAGAAAATGAAGCCGGTAAAAAATGAGATTTTCGGATCGTCGCGCGCAAAGAAAATCGATCGGTCGATCATGATTCGAGGAAACTCGGCGGGGGCGTGGTGGCGCCACCTGTGCGGTAGCAGGTAGCACTAGGCCCCTCGCGATCATGTGTTTGCTTCAGTATGTTGCGGCCTCTGCTAAAGTGCGGTTGTATTTGTGTGGTCGTTGAGTGATTGTTTTTTTTTCGGTGAGGATGATCGTCATCGTCGTTGTTTCTTCGTCAGTCCGATCATTATAATAATCGGCATTATTTCTTTAAACGCGAAGCAAATAAATACGTCAATTATATTAACATAATAATATAAGAAGTGTAACGTGTAAAACGAGCCAAGGAAAAAGTAGCGAATCGAATCGATTCGATAGATCGCAAGTGTGTTCGACCTCGTGACCTTCGAATCGTCCGATAATATACGCGAATCGTGTTTTGTCAGTTGGTACGCGAATCTCGTTCTAAGGGAGGAATTATTAAAAAGAAAACGTAAAGAAACAGAGTGAACGGAAGAAAGAAAGAAAGAAAGATAGAAAGAGAAAGAGAAAGAGAGACACACACAGATAGATAAATAGATAGATAAATAGATAGATTAAAGAAGAGAAACGATCTATTTTTCTCTATAGTGTGATCTTATTTCAATTTTTCTTTATTTTCGTAATTCTCGTTAAGGAGGAAGTTTCGCGGCACCGAGGCCACGTTCTTCCGCGTTCTCCTCACCTCGAATAAACGCACGCGTGCGCGCGCGCGCGCGCACAAGTACGAGTTTCCTCTTTCTTGTTTCTCCGCATCTCTCTCTTTCTCTCTCATTTTCTTTCTCATCATAGTATAAGAAGAAGAAGAAGAAGAGGAAGAAAAGACAAGGGATACTTCCCCAATCGGTCGAGTGAGTGTTATCTTCATATGTTTTTTCGTGGTAACTTCATCGGATATACCATCTACGCGTGTACGTAAACATAAATATTTCAACGAATTAACTTCATTAAGAAGAAGAAAATATAAAGGAAGAAAGGAAGAGAGTACAACGTTAATAATCGAAGAAACTAGTGTTTCGTTGGTGTTGCTGGTGTTACTGCACGTAAACCTTCATCGAATACTATCGTCCGTTTTTCACTCTTTCTAATATATATATATCTCTCTCTCTCTCTCTCTCTCTCTTGCTATCTTCCGGCGAAAAGCAGAGAAAGAAAAAGAAAAAGAAGAAGAAGAGGGAAAGGACCAAGTTCGCCGACTTTTTCACGAGGATGTCGAGGTAGCCTACCGAGCTCCCTCTGAGCCCTCGCGAAGATACATACTCGCAAAACACATATACACACGTGTACGGAACACACATCGACGTAGCACTCCACTCTCTTTCATCCGCGGGATTGGATTACCATGCTGGACACGGCCACGAGTCACAGGTAACAGAGAACCGTGTGCGCACCCTACCTATCTCTTTCTCTCTTTCTCTCTCTCTCTCTCTCTCTCTCTCTCTGGCTCACTCTATTTCTTTGTTTTACTCTTTATCTCTTTTCGTTCTCCCTCTCTTTCGATACACACTCCTTCTTATACTCATTCTCCTCCTCCTCTTCCAATCTCTATCTTTTTCTTCTCTCTTCTTCCTTCTTGTATCGACTTGAAGTCATCCTATTCTTCTCTCTCTCTCTCTCTCTCTTTTTAGTCGACTATATCTGTCCATCCTTGTCGCACTCATTCGTATACTCCTCTCCGCCATCATCATTTTCTCTCTCTCTCTCTCTCTCTCTCTCTCTCTTTCTCTCTCTCACGGTCATGGCACGTCCAACGAAGAAGAAGAAGAAGAAGAAGAAAAGAAAAGAATCTTCGTACTCTGCTACCACGCGACTCTCTCGACTCGATACATCCGCTCGACTTTGCCGCCTCTTTCTCTCTTTCTCTTTCTTTCTTTAGGAAAGATATCTCGAAGTCGTCTCGAGATCGTCTCGAGATCATGCGGATTCGCTCTCTTTTCTTATCTTCCGTTTTTCTGTCTCCCTTCCTTTCTCTCTCTCTCTCTCTCTCTCTTTTTCTCTCTCCCCCCTCTCTCCCCCCTCTCTCTCTCCTCCTCCTCCTCCTCCTCCTCCTCCTCCTCCTCGTCCTCTTCCTCCTCCTCGTCTCTTCTTCTTCTTCTTCTTCTTCTTCTTCTTCCTCCGATCGAGAAATTCGAATCGGGATGCCACGAGCACGCGTTCTCGGATGCTTTCTCACGGTTTTAACCCTTTGCACTCGAGCTATTTTTAGACCTGGTTCTCGGCCAACTTCGATTTCTTCTTTCGATAAGCTCTCGCGTTACAGACTATATAGTGAAAGCTCGAAACCTATTGGATCTATCTATTTATAATGGTTGAAAAAAGATTATTCTTTTTTTTTTTTTTCGGTTTCTCTTTTTTTTTTCTTGTATATTTTACTGCTAGATTGACAATAAGTTTAAAGATTTTTATCTACTCTCGTTATTTTTTTTTTTTTTTTTTTTTGTATAATTTTGAGCTTCTTTCGAAAGAGATAGAGAGATAGATAGAAAGTCACGTATTGTGGACTTTACATACGTCATGTGTACATACAGATCTACATACATATGTAGTACTTATTCGAAGCGAGACGTAAATATTTGAAGTTCACTTTGAATTGTATTCGACATGGCAATAGTTATAAGTGAGTGTGCATGTATGTATGCATGTACACGGACAAGAGGTTGCCTATTTGATTGTCCGACTTATTGAACATGTGTCCCTTGTGTTCAAATAATTACGAAACAAATATAATTAAAGCTAAAATTAAATAGACAGGTTATTTTCTAATTAGTAATTTTTGTTTATATAATAGTCGATTATATAAAGTATCTCAGAAAGCTGTTTCACCGAGATAAAGAATGCAAAACAAAAAATTGATATTGGCTTATCAATAGAATTTACAATATTTGGCTTTTTATTTCAAGATATGAGTTATCTGTTGCAATGTGTCGTTAAAAAAGTATTAACCTACGAATTATTTTACTCGCGAAACACACACCCGTGAAAATGAAATTATATAATTCTTCAGAGTTCGGTAAAGCGACTTTTATAACACACATCTTGTATTACAAATAATAATTACTTATAATTTACTAATAATACACTTATCGTGAATTAGAAAAGTATTAGAAATGAAATGATTTCTATACAAACATTGTTACTATAAAAATTTTACTTTGTTTCTTGCAATCTTCTGTTGAAGCACGTTAGAAATGTTTCCACTTCATTCTCAAGTATTTCACCTCTCAAGAAATAATGTTTGGCTTGCTTTGGCCAAAGATAAAAACGATTAACAGATGATATTTATTTCGATTCATTTCACGATGAAAGGAGGACGATTATCGCGATTAATAACGTATTATGTTTGCTATTATATCACTTTTCAATGATCATCGTACCGATATATACTCGACGTTATCATTATCATAACGAACATCGATAGGCGCCATCATTACGAAATCATTCTCGTCATAATTCATTAACACGTTTCTTTATCTAATTATATAGTGAGAAACAACACGTCGATGAGTAAATCTTTTGTATAAATATATTTTCCTTGTCATAATCATTTAGAAATGATAATTATCATAGCTTATTATAATATAGGACGTCCCAAAATTAATTAAAGATTTGAATTAAATAAAAAACACAGTTATTTTTTCGTTACATTGTTATTTTTTTATTGAATCGTGTAAAGTACACAGTACAGAGTATTATTACTTCACGGTCAAGAAACTTTATTTGCTTGGTGCCTTAACGAGCGATAACTCTTCGACGTTTAATCGTTCGGTTCGTCACTCTGACGAACTTTCCGGTGCAAATAAAAGGTCTCTCGATTGTCTGGATTTTTAAGTCAAATATCTTCTAAATCTTAAGAAATTTTGTGAATATGTCCATAATCTTATTTGGACATTAAAATGATCTCGCATTAACGGATCATTTCTTCTTATCATTTCAAGATTTCAACGAAGTCATCTTTGATTTAATACTTAAATAATTAAAAATATTATTATGTTGAAAAATAATACTGATTTTAATTTACAGAAAAAAACATATTTTTATGTTAACCTTAAAACTATTAAATCCATTTACATACATGTTTATTTAAAAAATATTTAAAAAATAATTTATTAAAAGTATAATTATAAATCGTATTTCATATTCCTATAAATGCACTTTATAATATTTCTATTATATCGTATAAATATTTAATGTTAATAATACTTGTATCGTTTTATTAATAAACAGAGCGTAAATCACTTTTTTCTTTAGAATCTTGTTGTTTATTATGAAACATTTCGGACAATTAACGAAAGAGGTTTTCTAATTAAACACTCGCAGAATGATAATCAGGAGAAGAAAACATTGTTTGTTTCCTATCGTATCTGTTTACTCCTCGTCAAACTACGTTCAGTATCTTCATAAACACGTAGTAAGCAATACAAGTCGATGATGTTGAGAAGACGAGAATATAAACTTTAGTCTTGCTTCTGCTCAGAAGGATAAAGGTTTCCTTACTTTCTTCTGCTTCATTGACTATCTGGAATCCGAGGACTGTTCTTTCTAACGCAGTTTTTTTCTCTCTCTCACTCTCTCTTTTTCTATCTACCTATCTATTTATCTATCTATCTCTTTCTCTCGCTTTTACAAAGTTTACATAAATAACACGTGTTCCTTCGTAGGATTGATAGTTTATTTTACATACTTGTTATTTGTTTGTTTTTTTTTATTCTAAACAATCGATATTTTTTTTTTGTTTTTCTTTATAAGTAAAAGATCTTGTTTGATGTCAATACGTCTAAAAATATCCGACTTCTAGGATGTTTATAGAAAGGTCATTTATTAAAACATGCAAACTATCACTAATGAATAGTTATTATCGCTAGTAATGAGTATGATATGTATTGTAGATGAAAAAATTGTACTAAAGATAAACTCAAGGATTTATATGCATGTATACTTCCATAATTAATGATTAATTATTTGTATACGGGGTGTATCTATAAAACCGGACAGGACTATTCAAAATTTCGCACTAATTTAATGATAATGCTTATATTAAACGATACCAATAATTTTCCTTTAAAATTCTTGTATATTTGTAAAAGAAACTAATTTATAGTCCGGCCAAATTACTAAACGCACATATTAATCAATTTCTAAACTCCGTATAATGTATATACGTGAAAGATATTGTTCGTTAACAAATTTGTCACTTGTACTATTTTTGGTACAAACCTGAATTTCGTTTTCTTGCCAAGTAATATTTTAGTCAATGATGAATAAAGTAAAGGAAAACAATTGTTGGCATCAATATGATAAAGTTTTAACATTTACTCTGCGAATAAATAAATTGATATGTCATGAAAAAAAAAATAAATATGTAAAAGTAAGATTTGCTAATTATTATATCTGCTTAAAAACAGCTTAGTAAGAATGTCTTGTTAATTTGTTGAAAAAAAATTGTACGAATGCCATTAGATATTTAGCCGAATATTTATATGTAAGTTATATTTACATAATATGAAATATTATTTGAAAATAATTATAATATCTTAACTGTTAATAATGTATGCTAAAGATAATGTTTGGAAAATTTCAATCAGTTTGCAAAGTAACGAAAACAGAAATAGAAAGAAAGAAAGAAAGAAAGAAAGAAAGAAGAAGAAGGAAAAGAAGCAACATCGGAATCCAAAGTATTCGTGCCTTTTCGCGACCTCTTAACAGAGATTTACTTAACGGAAAGATAAACCGAGAGGAAGGAACGTAAGAGGCTTTCTATCGGGATTCTTTCTCGCGGCACTAACGACCTACGAGAGCCACTATGAGATTGATTTACGTCGATCCGATGACTCTCGCGTGGCTTCGTGCACAAAGTTTCCTTCGAAAGAGCTTCCTCGTTCTTTCGAAACGAGCCTGGCCCGAGTTACTTTCATTTCCTGCGGTCCAATATTTCTTTTCAATCTGACAATTTAATTACATCTTATTTAATTACATTAATTACACAATAAACGAAGACGTTGCATAGTATTTTCTTATTACGAATCAAAAGTGTGTTAAAAAGGGAGAAGAGAGAGCGAGAGATTTATTTTTAGTTAAATAGTTTCTATTTATTATATGTATATTATAAAAAATTCAATAATTAAATATTTCTTTCTTCTTTTTCTTTTGTAAATAATAAAAATTGTTTTTATAACAGCGAAATATGTGTATGATTTTGGAGATTGGAGTTTTTGGATTTTTATATTTATATGCTTATAAATATATTTATTATCAAAATTTTATATTTATTATTAAAAATTAGAGTTAACGGCTTTTTTTTAGCTACGTTGGATTACTATTTATAGATCGTCGTCAGATCACTAAAGTTAAGCAACGTAAGCACGATTAGT